GGACACCGGATGAGTTCCGAGAGGTACCGGATAATTATCGGAGTTCCGGAGGGTTATCAGAACCCCTGGGGAACTCGGGCCTTGATGGGCCTTAGTGGGGAGAGAGGAAGGGCCACAAGGGGCTGGCCGCACCCCCTCCCCCTCCCTTGGGTCCTAATTGGACTAGGGAAAGGGGGTGGCGCCCCCCTTTGCTTCCCTTCCCCCTCTCCCTTCCTTCTTCCCCCTTTCCTCCAGGTGGAATCCTACTAGGACTTGGAGTCCTAGTAGGACTCCCTCCTCCTGGCGAGCCCTACAGGGCTGGCCAGCCTCCCCCTCCCCTCCTTTATATATGGGGGTAGGGGGCACCCTAGAGCACACAAGTTTCTCTTAACCATGTGCAGTGCCCCCTCCACAGTTACACACCTCGGTCATATCATCGTAGTGCTTAGGCAAAGCCCTGCGCCAATAACTTCATCATCACCGTCGCCACTCCATCGTGCTGACGGAACTCTCCCTCGCCCTCAACTGGATCAAGAGATCGAGGTACGTCATCGAGTTAAACGTGTGATGAACGCGGAGGTGCCGTGCGTTTGGTACTTGGATCGGTTGGATCGCGAAGACGCTCGACTACATCAACTGCGGTACTAAATGCCTCCGCTTTCGGTCTACGAGGGTACGTGGACACACTCTCCCCGCTCGTAGCTATGCATCTCCTAGATATATCTTGCGTGATCGTAGGCAAAAAATTTAAAATACTGTGTTCCCCAACAACATGTTCGCGCATGTAGTTGAAAGAAAAACAACATAGCCTCCATGATATTTATGTTCATGGTGATTTATATCCTACTCATACTTCCACTCAATGTCGATTAATCTCAATGCATGTTTATGACCGTTGTCGCTCTCTAGTTGGTCGCTCCTCAATATTTTGCTAGCCTTCACTTGTACTAAGCGGGAATACTGCTTGTGCATCCACTTCCTTAAACCCAAACTTGTTCCATATGAGTCCATCATACCTACCTATATGCGGTATTTACCCGCCATCCCAAGTAAATTTGCATGTGCCAAACTCTAAACCTTCAAATAATAATTTGTTTTGTATGCCCGAATTGCTCATGTAGTGACTGGAGGCTGTCAGTATCTTCCATGCTAGGTGGGTTATTCTCACGATAAGTGTTTATTCACTTGTCATTCATGAGAAAGTGGTTGGTATTTGGGATGCCCAGTTCCATGTTGTAAATCAAATCAAAATATAATTTTCAAACAAAACTCCCCCGGGATTGTTGTTGGTATGGACGGTACCCGTGGATTTGGCTAGCTGTGGAGTGTGATTGTTGGTGGAGGGGGAATAAAAACTTTACCATTCTGGTTGGGAACTGCCTATAATGTATCTAGCATGGAAGATACCAAGATCTCTTGGTTGTTATGTTGACAATGAAAGCATACCGCTCAAAATTATATTCATCTCTGTTTTAAAAGCTCCGAGATCTGGCACCTCTGCAAATCCCTGCTTCCCTCTGTGAAGGGCCTATCTATTTACTTTTATTGCTGAGTCATCATCCTCTTATGAAAAGTACCAGCTAGAGAGCACCGCTGTCATTTGTATGCTTTGTTATTAATTGATATTGAGTATGAGTGTGACTGGATCTCTTTTGCCATGAATTATAATGTCTAGTCAGTCTTTGATCTTCAGGGGTGGTCTGCATTTATATTTTGCGGTCTTAGAAAGGCTAGCGAGGTACCATTACATCATATTGTATCATGATTGTTTTGAAAAAGTGTTGTCATCCGAGATATATTATTATTGCTCGCTAGTTGATTATGCCATTGGTATGAGTAAATGTGAGACCTAAATGTTATTGTGAATATGGTTAGTTCATAGTCTTTGCTGAAACCCTGAATGTTGGCCATACATATTTGCGACAACAAGATCAAACAGAATTTGTAAAAGTTTTTCTTTGTCACTTTTAGTTTGTCAACTGAATTGCTTGAGGACAAGCAATGGGTTAAGCTTGGGGGATTTGATACGTCTCCATCGTATCTACTTTTCCAAACTCTTTTGCCCTTGTTTTGGACTCTAGTTTGCATAATTTGAATGGAACTAGCCCAGACTGATGTTGTTTTCAGCAGAATTGCCATGCTGTTATTTTTGTGCAGAATAAAAGTTCTCGAATTGACCTGAAAATTTACGGAGAATATTTTTGGAATATATAGAAAATATTGGCGCAAGAATTATCCAGAGGGGGTCCACCCAGAGGCCACAAACCAGGGCCCCCCCCGGGGCGCACCTAGAGGGCTTGTGGGCCCCCTAGACCTCCTCCGACCTCAACTCCAACTTTATATAACCCTATTCGGGGAGAAAATCAGAGAGAAGAATTCATCACATTTTACGATACGGAGCCGCCATCGCCTCCTGTTCTTCATCGGGAGGGCAGATCTAGAGCTTGTTTTGGGCTCCGAAGAGGGGGATTCGTCGCCATCATCATCACCAACCCTCCTCCATCATCAATCTGCTCGTAGGCTTGCTGGACGGTGATGGGTTGGATGAGATTTATCATGTAATCGAGTTAGTTTTGTCAGGGTTTGATCCCTAGTATCCACTATGTTCTGAGATCGATGTTCCTATGACTTTGCTATGCTTAATGCTTGTCACTAGGGTCCGAGTGCCATGATTTCAGATCTGAACCTATTATATTTTCATGAATGTATTTATGTTCTTGATCCGATCTTGCAAGTTGTAGACACTTATTACGAGTTATGATCCACATACCCCAAGGTGACAATAATTGGGATTCTTTCCAGTGATTACCGTAGTTTTAGGAGTTCATGTATTCACTAAGTGCTAATGCTTTGCTCCGGTTCTCTATTAAAAGGATACATAAATATCCTTTAGTTTCCATTAGGACCCCGCTGCCACGGGTGGGTAGGACAAAAGATGTCATGCAAGTTCTTTTCCATAAGCACGTATGACTATATATGAAATACATGCCTACATTATATTGATGAATTGGAGCTAGTTATGTGTCACCCTGGGTTATAATTGTTGCATGATGAATTCCATCCAACATAATTATCCATCATTGATCCATTGCCTATGAGCTTTTCACATTTTGATCTTTTCTAAGTTACTTTGCTGTTGCCGCTGTTACAATCACTACCAAATTGTTACTGTTACTTTTGCCATCGTTACCATTACTTCCATACTACTTTGCTGCTAAATACTTTGTTGCAGATATTAAGTCTTTCAGGTGTGGTTGAATTGACAACTCAGCTGCTAATACTCGAGAATATTCTTTGGTTCCTCTTGTATCGAATCAATTAATTTGGGTTGAATACTCTACCCTCGAAAATTGTTGCGGTCCCCTATACTTGTGGGTTATCACCCGCCCACAGAAAATCCCTCTCAATCTTGTTAATACTAAGGAGTGTGCTTGCGGGAGGGTTGAGGGCAATGATGTGGTAGAGCACCTAAGAGGTCAGCACAGACTTGACAAGCACCCCCGCCCGATGGCGGTGATGTTATGGCCATCCCACGGAACAAACCTAGCTGCCACCTTATTCACGAGAAATTGGAGATCCACCGCCCCAGGCACCAAACCGATAGTAGAAGACCCAAATTCTTGATGGGAAAGGAGGCACGGGCCGCGGGCATCGCAGTAAGGGTTGCGTCCAAGTTGATGTTCCCACATCTAATTGGGACGACCGAGCTCTTTTCAGAATTCGTATAAAGTCCTATCACCTTGCCAAAGTTCCACCATCTGAGCAAAGTTGTCAATATCTTGCTTAATGGGAGCCATGAAAACAGCCGCATCATCGACAAACAAAGACGTGCGGAAGATGGCCCTTTGCCCTCTGATCTTGCAACAACCCACGATGGTTAGGAATATCAAAAATTTGTTGCAAAGGGTCAATGGCGATGACGAAAAGTAACGGAAAGATTGGGTCTCCTTGCCGAAAACCATGGTCGTGCTTAATGAGAGGTCCAGGCACCCCGTTGAGGAGGATCCTCGAAGAAGACGAGCGGAGCAAGGCGGTGATCCATTCCTGAAACCGCGACGGGAACCCCATCCACGGAAGAAGGTTGATAATGTATTCACATCTAACCGAGTCGAAAGCCTTGCAGATGTCTAGCTTGAAGAGGAGCGCATGCAGGTGGTCTGATCTTGTGGAGCCGGCGAGCAAGGCCCCTCACATACATAAAGTTGTCGTGAATGCATCTCTTTTTGATAAAGACACTTTGCGTGTTGGAGATGAGAGCGTGCATGTTAGGGCCAAGGCTTACAGCGAGAACCTTCACAATAAGCTGCCTGACTTTTCAACATACAAGAGAGACCCTCTGCGCAAATCAAAGAACAAGGGACCACCTTTGTCAAATGTGTACTGAGAATAAACACCATTCACCCGGACAAAGAAAGAAACAGTCTGAACACATCACGTAATGGTATTGATCCACCCTTCAGCAAATCCCAGCTTGGCCATGATAGCTCGAAGGTAGCTCCACTCTACCAGGTCATAGGCTTTAGCCATATCTAATTTAACCACAAATGCTCCGGAGTTGCCTTTATTTTTGTAAGGTAATGGATACATCCGTGGGCAGAAATGAAGAATAAGTGGAGGTATCCTTACATGTGGTTCCTTCACTATCACATACGTACCCTTCATTAGCTACTGAATTCCAAGACATCCAGGAGCTCTGCTTGACCTCTGTAGAAAATATACCATAATATTTTCGGGAGTGTAATTATTATTGCTACTTCCTCCGATCGAAATTAATTGATGCAGTTTTACTAAAGCTACGTCAATTAATTTGGATCAGAGGGACTATATATCTTGTTCAGAAGTATAATCAAAATGAAAATAAACAAACGGCAGCTTGGTCATTGAACTATCCACCGAGTATTGTTTCTTTTAGGTACGTATATAGAGATAATGAAACCCTATAAACAAACATGGTTATAGGGAGAGAAGACATTTAATTACTCGTTGCCGGTCGATAGAGCAAACAAAAGAAATCAGGAAGTTCAGACTTGGTGCGCGGTGCGGTTATGACTGCTCAGCACCACCTTCGTTACGCGGGACGCCAAGTCTAACAGACTTTCGGCAGCAGTGTTCTCATCGTCAATCGGGTCCCTTGGTCCTAGAGGATTATCCTGCATCAACGCCAGCGTACACCAACGGGGCTGGCCCGCGGCGTACTGGAGCTTGGGGAGTGCCGCGGCGATTCGCCCGGCGCGGAGGTCGTCGAAGGCGTCGGCCGCTGATCGGTTCACGTCCTTATACAGGGTGACGCATTCCTCGAGGGTGCCGATGAGGCCCTGGATGAAGCGCGACGTCAACGTGACGTTGGCGGAGGTGAGGTTGGCGACGGCAACGGCGAGCCGGGTGACGTCGGGGGAGGTCGCCGCCGCCGGGTCGGCCCAGAGCGTGCGCACGCAGTAGTCGTACAGACTGGCGTAGCCGTTGGCCCCGCCGGAGCACGTGGAGTTGATCACGGAGGAGGTGCCGCCGTCGACAAGGCAAGCCCCAGACGCGACGAGGAGGAGGAGAATGGTCGACATGCTCTGCTGGTCCCTTCGTCGCAAATTACTTACTTGAATCGCAGCGGCCACCTCTATTTATGCTTGCATATGCGAGGCTTTATTACAGGGCCATCCGGCATCTTTGGAAAGCAATATGCGAGTATTTTTTACGTTTCCCATATTCTTTCTTAGTGGGATAGTGATGCGAGGGTTCAAGTAAGGCAATCCGGGATTATTTTTTCCATGTCCTTTATTTTTTTTTCGTTTTCAATGTCCTTTTTTTTAGACAGTTTTCAATGTCCTTGATGCAATACTTAGAACGGACGCGGCTTGAATGCTCCCCTCCCCGGGTATGCTCACATCCGAGTATCCAAGACGGGTGGATGGCTACGGAAGGAAGCCACTAGGCGCATGCAGGATTTGGAATTAACTACAATTAATTTATTTCGCGGGATGGCTTTTGTAGCACGCCATCTGCGGGGTCTTTGTTGGCTTGTCGGGTCTGTGTGTGGGTTTGACCCTTGATGTACCGGTTTTCGCACGGTTTTCCTGTAATTAACCGGGCAACTATCTTCTTCTCTATTAATGAAAAAGGCAAAGCTTTTGCCTCTGTTTCAAAAAAGCAATTAATTTATTTCCTAATTTTTCCTACTGTACAACTTCTTCCCATATCCAGGGACGATTAATTAAGCTATTTTATTTGTTTCCGATCGTGAGGACCAATGCTTCCTAATCAAGATCATTGCTTCCAAGAAACATTTTGCTTGATATGAACCAGGAACGTTGCTTCCCAAAATTTGCTTTGCTTCCTAAGAAGTTTTCAGTCGTGAGCACTGTCTCTGCAGTCCTGTACCTTCACTTCATGATGTTGGTACTTATCCTAGGCCGTTCGATTCATGTATCAGGCTGTACTGCTCCCCTTCATTTGTTCGTCAGTACTTGGTTGCAGTTGCAGCATGCTAGGTTACGTTTAGTTTGGTTCAGGGTCCTAGTCCAGTCTGTATCCTCCGGTGTGTACCGTGTCTATTGCTGCCTGTGCCAGTTATCAATGTACTCCTTGATCTGCACTAGTGGTTGGGGCGCCATCCTGTGACGCCGCTTGAAAGGAAGCAGTGCGCAAGTTTCTATTTTAAAAAAACACATAGAGTCCTCGCCTTCGTCTAAAAAACTTCTCAGAAAAAAACCCTCACATTCATTTAGAAAGAAAGAAAAAAAATTATCACCACAGCCTACTAGCGAGTGTCATTTTGTATAACCCTCTATTTAAAAATACGAGAGGTCCTCACCTTCATCTAAAAAGAAAAAATACATTTAGAAAATAATCCACACCTTCATCTAAAAAATCTAAAAGATTTCCTACCGCGGCCAACCAGCTTGCGCCACATGACATAGCTGGTTGGCCGCTCTTCACGCGTAGCTTAATGTGTTTAATTTTTTCTAGAATGCATTTGCATTTATCTTTTCACTTCTGCTTCGCTACACTCCGCCTAAACGCAAGAACGGCTCAGATTAGTGTAGCTCTTTATAAGAAAAGGCATGATGGTCATATTTTATGAATCTCTTCATCTGCTGTACACCTGTGTGCTGAGCCTGCCCATCTATCTTTGTTTTTTCTGGCCTACCCATCCAAATTTCATATGTTGTACACCTGCGAGCTGGGCCTACCCATCTATCTTTGATTTTACTGATTTCAAATGGCAAAAAACTGCAAGCGTGGCAGGATTCGAACCACTTGCTTCGTGGTTGAGAGTTCAACGGGGTAACCATCCACACGTGATTACATCCCTCTTTCTAATTCTTTTCTTCTTTTCTCTTTTCTCTTTTTTCCTTTTTCCTTTTTACCTTTTACTTTTTTCTTGTTCCTTTTTTCCTTGATTTTTTAAGCGAATTTGTTCAGTTTTTATTTTCCTTTCTTTTTTTCTGTTACTTTTTTATTTTTGTTTTCTGTTGCAATGTGCAAACTTTTTTCAATTTCATTTACAAAAAATGAATGAACTTTTTTCATGTTTGTGAACGTTTTCTCAAACTTGGTGAACTTTTTTCAAATTTAAAAAGTTTTTAAAATTCGTAAACCTGTTTTATTTGATGAGATTTTTTCAAAATGAATGCATTTTTTTCAAAGTCGATGAACTTTTTTCCCAACACTGATGGACTTTTTCAAAATCGATAAACTTTTTTTGATTCCTTGTTTTTTTCCAAAATCCATGAAATTTTCTCAATTCATGTTTTTGCAAATCCGTGACTTTTCCAAAAAATATGAACCAATTTTGAAAGTCAACGATCAAAAGCGGTTGGCGAGACGCGTCTTGAGCCTAACGTGTATGCGAGAAAGTCTAGTGCTTTGGTTTTTCTTTCGGTTGTCAGGTTTCCTAATCAACTTTTACTATACCAGCAGCAAAAACCGAATATTTGGTATTTTCAATTTTTTTTATTGGTTCGCCGTTCGGTTTTTATGCCCATTGCTAGCAAAAAGTGTTCCTGTTTCCAAATATTGGTTACAATTTTAAAAATTGTTCTCAATTTTGACTTTTTTTACAAAAATAAGAAATGTTTGCATTTCAAAAAAAGTGGTATTTTTTAAAGGTACGTGATTTGCAATTTATGTTCAATATTTTCACCAATTGTTGGGAATAGGTTAATAATTTTGTTTAAAGTGTTCATGTTCATTGATAGTGATGGAAATTATAAAATAAAATAAGCATTCAAATTAGAAAAAATTATATGCTCATGGATGCATCTGTATGGCCTAGTCTGGCATGCTCCTCTCAATTGGTGTTTTCTTACTTGGATAAATGACCACAACTTCTTGCAGCAACCTGGACTAGACATACGAGGCATTCATGATAGGTTTGAACAACATTCGTCACCGTTGGCATGTTGCGACACGTCCGATCATTTATCGACCATTTTCACCAAGAAAACTCCAGAAAATGCAAAACTGGTCAAAAGTCCAAACAACTTGGCACAATGCCTTGAATTGGTCATAGAATATGTGGGTCCATTTGATGGATGTCAAGAAACAACACCCTCTCAGACGGAGCCATCTTGCACCCGGACATCCACTATTCAACATGGTATATTTTCATACATCCTCAAAATGACCCCAACTTTTACAAGCACGTGGGCAAGCCCATGGTAGGCATTCATGCTTGGTTTAATAACTTTTGACACCCTATGCAAGTTGCAACACGTCCTGCCATTTATAGGCCTTTTTATCAAGAAAACTCTAGAAAATGCAAAACTTGTAGAAAACCCAAACAACTTGGCATGGTGCCTTGAATTGGTCATACAATTTCATGGAAACATTGGGGCCATTTCAAAGATGTCAAAAGACGAACTCTCAGACAGAGCCTTCTCGCCTACCCGCGCACCTTCCGTCGAACACGGTATTTTTGTGGATGTCCTTAAAATGACCCCAATTTCTCCTCCGGGTGGGCATGCCCCATGGAAGGCATCCATGCTACATTTGAACAACTTCCGACACCGTATGCATGTTTCGACACGTCCGACCATTTATCGGTCTTTTTCATAACAAAACTTTAGAAAATGTAAAGCTTATCAAAAACACACACAACTTCGCATCTTGCCTTGGTCATACAATGTCACGAAAAAAACATGGGAAAATTTGAGGATGTCGAGAAACAACATGCTCTCAGACGAAGTCTTCTGGCCTATCAGGACACCCTCCGTTGAATATAGTCTATTCTTAGACATTATTGAAATGACCCCAACTTTTGCATACAGGTGAGCATGTCCAGGGTAGGCATCCATGCCAGGTTTAAGCGATTTCTGACACCGTATGCAAGTTGCAACACATTTGACCATTTGTCATCTTTTTGACAGAGAAAACTCCAGAGAATTCAAAATTTGTAGAAATCAAAACAACTTTTCATGGTGCCTTGTACTGGTCATACAAGCCAATGAAAAAATTGTGGTCATTTGATGGATGTCACGAAGCGACGAGCTCTCAAAAAGAGTTTTCTGGACTTCCCGGACACCCTACGTTAAACATGGTGTTTTTTTGAGACATTTTGAAATGACCCCAACTTCTGTAAGCATGTGGACATGCCAATGGTAGGCATCCATAGCAGGTTGGATGAACCAATTTATTTAAAAACATAATTTAAACAAATACTTAAAACTATTACTTGTCAGTTTTAAAAATAACTAATAAACACAAAGGGACACAAATATTTGACAGGAAAAATAATTTAAAATCATAATTTAAAAAAGTTTCTTAAAATGGTTATTTCAGTATTCCAAACAATTTTTCAAATTTGTAAAGAAATTTTAGAAAGAATAATAAATTTCAAAAAGGAGAAAATTGAGTTAAGTGAAAAAGAGAAGAAAAAATAGAAAAAATGCTTGCAGATTTGAAAAAATAGGCGACAACATCGCTCCTCTCAGGCGCCTATTAGGCCGGCCCAAGTGCTCGCGGATTTGAAAAAATTTCATCAATTTTTTTAAATGTTCATGGATTTGAATTTTTTGCAGATTTTTTAAAAAAAATTCAGTAATGAAAGTTCTAAGAAAACTTAAAAGGAAGAAGAAAAAAACAGAAGAATACACAGCCAAAAATTGTGTATTATAACTAAGAGTGTTGTCATACCTATAATTGTCACCACTACTAACGTGGCCTGTTGGTGAGCTCAATGTATAGTCTAAACTTCAAATTTCAAAAAGGAGAAAATTGAGTTAAGTGAAAAAAAATGAAACTTTAAGTTTATAGAAAAAAGATGAACGTGCATGCCTATTTATACGGTTTGTAGGGGAGGGGGTGTATCGAAGCGGGGCTCTTATCTTTTTCATATGGGTTGTGGTTCATATTTACCTTATGAAGCTACTTAACTGGAATGTCCGTGGGCTTGGTGATGATGATAAGTGTTCGCTGGTTCGTGACGTTATAACCTCCTTCTGCCCTAGTGTCGTCTGTTTGCAGAAAACCAAGCTATCTTCTCTTTCGATTCTCAAGCTGAGAAGCTTCCTTCCTGCCAATCTCAAAGAATATGTTGCGTCGTTCTCAAACGGTGCCTTAGGTG